TGCCATCTCGGACGCGTGCCCTGCTCCACGACCCAGCTGGCTGAGGGCGATCAGACTTCCTGGGCTTCCCTGTGACCCAGCCCCAGCTGGCCCCATGCCTGTGGCCCTTGGCAGGCCTGGAGAGAAGGGGAAAGAGCACTGCAATCCCAGCAAGAGCCCGAGCTGAGGCAGGAGCATAAAAACCAGTGGAGTCAAGGGGGAGAAGCTTCCTCCTTCCACTGCCGGGTCCATCCAAGAGCTCGCAGGCTACCTGTAAGTCCTCCTCACCTCCTGGCTTGCAGGCGTTGCAGTCCAGGGCTGAGGGATGCTCCTGCCACCCCTGAACTGTTTTATCTCAGAAGGCTCAGGACGGGGCACTTCTGAACCATCGGAGAATGCCAGCACTGTGTGGCACAGTGTGGCACCCACAGACCCTGCTTTACCCAGGGCTCTCCCCCTGCTGCACCCCAGCCTCCTGCCCCCCCATTTCTTACCAATTTCCAGCCTGCTTTGGTCTAATTTCCATGGCTCTGCAGCCTTACATGTACATTCAAAACCTTCAACAACACAAAATGCAGCTTGCCTTGGTGGGATGCTCCTTGGGATGTGGCAGGGTGGGAAGAGCTGGTCTGGGGGGGCACCCTGATGTTGGGGCCTGGGCACAGAGGGTGGAGGCTCCTGCTGTGAAGTAAGAGACTCCACATACAAGGGCTCTTGCTACCAGCAGATTTCTCCAGTTTTTATCTTCCTGGCAGATATTTCAAAGTTTCAAAGAGTTGGTGGTCCAAGCGAAGTGGACAAGGTGAGGACCCCTAAGGACATGCAAGACAGGACCAGGCTGCACCCGTGCATCCAGCGTCCCCAGCCAAGGGTCTGTGATTCAATGTGTCCCGAGGACCCAGCTCCTTCTGCCATGACCCTCTCCAAACAGCCCAGTGCAGCATCTCAGAGCAAAGACAAGGGCCCCCGAGTCAGCAGAGGCTGGCGCCAAAGAAGCTACATCCCCCCACAAACATCCCCCGGCACCATCCCCTCCAGCATCCTGCCGCCAAACGCCGCCGCAGGGATGCCGAGGGGCCGGTTCCTGCCGGACACCCCCGGCCAGCTGCTTCCCCTCCCTTTGAACTTGTTTCATCTTCCCTGAGTGTGACTGCAAGAGGGAAGTTTGGACTGGGCTGGGAGACCCCGCTGTGCCTGGCTGGGAGGGGGTGTGTGACAGGATGGGGGTCCTGCCTTGCTGCTGGGTGGGGAGGAAGGATGCAAGAGGGGAGATGTGAGCGTTTCCACCAGCATGAAGGCAGCAAACCTATTTTAGGTGGTTTCTAGTTGTTTAGAGTGGTTTCTGGGGAGGCTGGGTAGTGTAGTACCCTCTGCTCCAGCCTGCTCAACCTGAGCAATGCTCTTGCATCCCTCCATAGCTGGGAAAAGGCCCCTTGAGGGGAGGTAGCATCCTTCAGACCCCAGCAGCCAGGAGGGATGCTACCCAGGGGTTTGGGGCAGAGGGAGAGGGTTTGGTGGGATATCCCAGTCCCCTGACCATGGTGGGTGTGCACTGGGTTTACCTTCAAGAGCAAGAGGAAGGAGGTGCCAACTCAGAGCCATGCAAGACCCCTCTCCAGCTCACAAAATCTGCCTCCACCTTGCATGAGTGGCCCACATTCCTCTGTTTCTGTGTCCATGGGAAACATGGCCATGGGAGTGAGGAGAATGCCCGAGACAGAGCATCAGATGCCGCTTGGGCATCTCCCACTGCCGTCCCGAGACACACTTCAAATGTTTCAGGGCACCATTTGCTCAAGACATGCTGCAAGCAAACACCTGTTCCCCAGGGCTGCAAAGCTCCCGACCTCCCCCCAGGGCTCACTTTCTGGCTGGGTACATGGGCAGCAGACTGGAAGAAGGAGCAAACCCATAGGTTGTTCCCCCAAGCTCGTACCCCCCAAGGCTGTGGGCAGCTGGGAGCCAAAGCTGGGCTGCGATGCCTCATGTTCCCCCCTCCCTGCCAAGCTGCGCTTCCAGTCCTGGCTCTGCCTAATTAGACAGAAAGCCTGGAAAGTCCAGTAGTGACTTTGTTTCTCCTTCAGACAACTCTTCCCAGCCAACAGTCCTGTTGGCTTCTCACCCCAATTGGCCAATACATGACAGGGACACGGAGACACTTGCACATCCCTTCATAGAACCCGAAATGTGAGTGGTGACTCGCTGGGGACCCCCAGAGCAGAGATGGCATTTGCAGGGTGGTCAGCACGAGGATGGAACAGGGATGCATGGAGCCTCCTCTCTTTGCTGCTCCCAGTTCCTGTCAGCTACTTCTATGAAATGTATTTCCCTTCCCTGCTGTCCCCTCTCCCTGAGCCTCGGCTGAGCCAGGGCTGCCCACGAGCAGATAGTGGGGCTGAGGATGTGGGGGATCTGCGTGCACGACAGCCCACAATACCCCCTCGGCCATGCGTGGGTCACCCTGGCGAGTGCCCACCCCGTGCCAGGCTTCTCTAGGGACTTTCTTTGGCAGAGGAGCGGGCTGCGGTGTGCACGCTGTCTGCTGATCCTGTCCCCTTGTGCCTGATGCTGGCCGGCCATGTGCTGGAGGGGATGTCCCTGCTCCACGTGCTGGGTGCCCTGGGGATGTGGCCAAGGCAGAGAGCCCCCCACATCGCTCCCCACCTGCCTGCAGATCTCTGTGGGGTGCCATTGCTGCCTGTGGACCTCCAGGGATGTTAGCAGCTCTCCCTGGGGTCTCCCAGGCGTGAGTGCCCACCCGTGTCTCACCAGGGACCTGAATCCTGCCAAGGTGTCGGAGGCTCTCAGCACCCAGCGCTAATTTGCACACCGGTGGGTTCGGTGTCACAGTGAGGAACGACACCACAAAGCTGCAATTTGAGCTGTCAGAACTGTAAAAATGTTTTCAGTATCATCTTTTAGCATCTAGCAACAGGTTGGGAGAAACTTGAGGCATTTCAGATTCAGGGAATATTCCTTAGTGGCGTTTTCTGTCCTATTTGCAATCTACAATGTTGTTTTGCTGCTGCTGTGTCTAGGGCACAAAAATCACCTAAAATCACCACATTTGCCAACTTCCAGGAATTCACACCAGGGAAAGGAGGAAACATCCAGGGACAAGGAAACAGGAGAGCTGGATAAGCTGAACCCTTCTTGTTGAGGCTACAAAGCCCTTCAATATTAACATAGCCTACAAAAAGCCAGAGAAAAATCTCACAACACCGAGAAATTGGGCGTGAAATGGGACAACAAAATTCAGGGTTGATATTGCACAAGAAAACCCCATCCAAACTATATACAGGATGAGGGGGGGCTCTAACAATATTGTTCACAGGAAAGCTCCTGGGCTCAGTGCAGAAATCTCCCCCAAAAGCCCTATTTGATGCTCAGAGGCAACAAGGGAGGAAAAGAGACTGGGTTTGTTAGAAAAATGACTGACGAGAGCTAGGCAGCGTTGCTATGTATAAAGCCGCAGTCCTCCCACACCTGAACCCATCCCCACTGCTCAGGGGATGCAGGAGGACCAAAAAAGCACCGAGAGCAATGACAGAGTGAGAATCGCTTTGGTTACACCGACAGGCTGGAACACGAGGATTTTTCAGACTGGGAAAATCACACTTAGGGAGGAAGCTGGGAACAGCCTGCAAAATTGTGCGTGGCAGGGAGGGGGTGGGCAGGGACCGTGGTTTTATCTTGTGCCCCCTGCCTTATGCTCCTTTGCCAAGTAGCCTGTGCTGGCCATGGCTGGGGGAAAACCCCCAAAGCAACAGATCTCTGGCCTGATCCCATGGATCTGGGGACACCAAGCACTCCTGAACTGTCAGATGATCCTGACACAGGTTGCCTCCTGTCCTTGTCTCCCTGTATGGGAAGGCAGTTCCTGCCCTGGGAAGGGTCCTATGCCCACTGGGGTCTGGGCAGCATCTAACACAAGGGGGTTTTGTCCCTTTTGGGGCGTCTTTGTGCTGATGAAGGGTTGTGGACCCCTCAAGCAAATGGGCTGGAGCTTGTGTCTGAACTACAAAGTTGTCAGCGGGGTGACACAAGATGGGTGTATGCTCAGCCATCCTGGCTGGGCTGAGTTTTTCCAGCAATGTTCTGGGCAGCAGGAGCCTTCCTAGAGCTGATGAGCCTAGCAAACGTGTCCCTGCAGCCTGGGCATGTCCTCGAACAGAGCAAAGACGTGGGTTGCAGTTGAGTAGCACTGACATTGGGTGTCACATCCCCTCCCAGCCCCACTGACACCCTCCTGGTCCCACTGTGGCACCCCAGCCCCATGGCTGCCTGCCCCCAGCCCCAGGGGCTGCAGCATCACACCAGCAGGGAGGGAGCTGGCCATGAAGCGGTTAAATATCTCCTCCAGGAGCAGCAGGGTTCAAATAAAGTGCTTCCCCCATTTACGGCCCACATAGTTGTTATGGGCTTGGCTTTGAAAACAGGTACAGATGATGAGAAAGGGAAAAACAAGGAGAGGAGTCATTTGTGGGGCAGCCCCATAGCCAGGGGTCTCTCCTGCATAAGCCTGCCCCATGAGACATCTCAGGCTGTCACTTCTGGTCCCTCAAAAGCCCAAAGCTGTGTCCCACATGTCCATGAGCAAGCAGGTTATCACTCCTGGGCTCCTGGGGTCCCCACGGCAAGGGAAAACCTGGGCTGAACATAAATCTATCGTCCCCTTTCCACTCCCTGAAGCACCCTGCCGGTGCTGTCCCGTGTGGGACACACTTTATCCTGGTCACGGGGATCCTGTGAGTGGCTGGCCTGCCCTTCCTGCTGGCTGCCACAACAAATCTCTGCCTGCACACCCAGCACCCTCTGAATGCCCAAGCGAAGCTGCTGGAGGCTTCAGGACCCCCGCCCCAGCCCAGCCTGTCCCAATTGCTGCCGCAGCCAGATGTACTGGGCTGGCAGAGTGGAGGAAGACCTTTCTCCCAGTGCTTCTCCAAGAATTTGGGGCATCCTCGCTCCCTTTTAACCCCTGCAGCAGCCACTGCAGAGCTGGTCCCGACGCATTTTCCTACCTGACAGGGATCTTCACCCGCAGGTATCGATCCACGGCGATGGCCAGGAGCGCCAGGATGGAGCTCTCAGTGAGGATGAGGACGGGACAGGCCACCATAAGGCAGCTGTAAAACTCTGTTTGCGGTCCGATGTTGATGATGATGGCCAGGGGGATGACCAGGGCCCCCACGGCCACGTCGGCCACTGCCAGCGAGACGATGAAGCAGAAAGTGGCATCCCGCAACGCCTGGTTCATCTTCACAGCCCAAATGACCAGGATATTCCCCGGCACAGACACCAAAGCAATAAGGACTTCGATAGAGATGTAGGCAGCCTGGAAGGCTGAGACCGAGTGTGCCATGATGCTCCGGTCCCCTTCCCGCTCACGCTGGGGTCCCTCGGTCACCTGCAAACGCACGGGGAGGCGGTTAGCAACTACTGACATCTTAACTGGG